TATATATATATACTCTTTCACCTGTATATAGCTAGGTCTTACTCATAGAAAACATTTATTGTGCAGGAATAAGGTCTTAGCTCTGTTACACTGTTAGCCAAGTAATAGACATTTCGTTGTCAAGATTCACCCTGAGTTTTTTGTGCAATGACAATAAAGGAATCTAAGTATAAGTCTGGTTTGTTTGTAGGCACTTAAAGCTAAAAGGGATATATGGTAAAGGGAGGGTATAAATCAGTGTAAGATTTGTTAAAAGAGTGAATTGACCAAACACCCTTGTGAGGAATGAACCTTTCAAGTAAGAATGTTAATTCTATTAATAGCCTAGGTGCTCATTTGTATTTTTATCCATCTAAAAAGAGGATTTTGTTCATCAGCACCAAAACCTCATGGCAAAGGAACAGTTTCTTTCCAGCTGAATCTACTAGTGTGAATCTGAAATGCTTGTAGAAATTGTCTATAAATCTATGAGCAAGAATTTATAATAAGACTATATAGGTAGTAAAAACAAAAAGAAAATTTACCCTTACTATTTTTACCTGATGTTGGGTCCATTAGGCCGATTTGGTGTTTGCCAGGAAACGGCCAGAAAAGATTCACTGACTGGCACTACTGTTAGAGGTGAAAGGTCTTCAGGTCTTGTTGGTAAAGTGGAACCAGGAGTTGGAGGACTTTCTGTACATCCACCTACATATCCTCCACCTTTTGAACATGCCAGCACAGTCACACTGTAATTTGTGTATGGAACAAGGTCTATTATCGTGACATTGAGCTCCGTGGAATTTATGGTGTCATGAAAGATTCGCGGTTCAGGGAGACGGATTTCATATCCATGAATCTCTCCATTAGGAATCAAAGGTGGTGACCATGTGACCTGAAAAGAGAGTGAGGAATCAATGTTTATTTTTTAAAATACAGACGGGTGAAATACTTTGACAAGATAGAAAATATCATTAAATCTTTTCTACCGTGCCTTTCAAACTTGTAAATTAAAAAATTTTGGCAATTACCACAATAAAATATATCTATTTTTGTAGATCTTTTAATACCTTTCCTAATAGTAAAGTTGAACAAAATAGTAAATAAAAAAAACAAATGTTTGAAAGCTGTTGTATCAGTTTGTATTTACAGTAGCACTCCATTCTTTTTGGGACCTCCTTTCCTTAAACCTACAGCTGCAGGCCTTGAGAAATCTCTTCAGCCATGAGCATGTCAAAACTAAAATTGTTGCCCATGTTTTTGCAAAATAGCATAATCTCTGTCTGATCTGAGAGTATCTTTAAACAACAGTATCTATATCTCCATTGTATTTAGGCCTGGACTTTGACTGGGTCATTTTAACAGAAATGGTTGCTCTCGCTGTGTATTTACGATAATCCTGCATGAATGTGAAACTTCACCTCTGTCTCATATAGTACTTTTAACTCTCTAACAGGTTTAATCCTATGAGGATTTTGCTGTAGCAAGACTTTAAATAATTTCTGACGGGCTTCAGACTCTTCCAAAACTTAAACTTTAAAGAAGAACCTCTACAGCATCATACTACCACCTTTGGCAAACCATATGGATGGTGTCATCAGGGGACTTTTCTTTATTACATTTACATGAAAAACAGTGTTTGTCTGAGAAAAAGTTTAATTTTGGTCTTGTCTGAACAGAGCACTTGAATGTATTGTGTTGTCACATTACAGTGACACCAGCAAGCCGGAGAAAAATCACTATTAGGCACGGCCTTGTTAGAAAACATAACCTGACTTTCACTTAAGTAGAAGGTTTCCTCCATCACATTTAAAACAGGGAGCACACAAACGGGCACACCGTCTCTCTCACACACGGAGGCCATGCTAAAATGATGAAAGAAGCTCCTAATGGAATTGCAGCATGAAAAACAAAAGCAAGCTGTTGTGATCTTGAATCAGTTCAATCTGCCAGCATTTTAGAGCCATGATAAAGCTAAATGCTAAACACAAATAATAATACAACATACAGATATAAACATGCTGGTTTATACACCTTTATAGAAAACTGCTTCCACAGTTAACATTGGATTATTATATTAACACTCAGAAAAGCAGCAAGAATGTTTTGAAATTCTGCATACTCTGGCATATGTAGACAAAATGAAATTACTTGGTAAACAACTTGTTAGTACATGTACAGGTGATTATGTGGTCAGTGTTGATGAGAAATAGAAGACCAATTAATTATCAGGCAACCTTGATATTTTAACAAGACACCGAGCAGTGATACAGGACACACACACAGACAGATGCATACACAGGAGCAATACCTTCTAACAACGGAAAGACAATCACGCACTCACAGGGGCACAAACACCACAACTGGGCAGGGTCATTTTGAGTTAGGTAGCTCATTTCCCAAAGTGCGTGTTGAGTGTGCTCTGTGGTGGAAGTCATTTACAGATTGAATAGCTTGATGTAATCTGGTGATGGTGAAGACAACAGAGACCCTGACATGGAGCACTGGGGCTAAGGCCAGTGGGCTGTTTAAGAGTGTGTGTTTGTGTGTGATCCTTTGCATGCAGGTAAGACAGTAGAAAACTAAGTCTACACTTTGGTGAAAAATGTGTGTGAGGATTTGTTGGTGTGTGTATAGTTTTATCAGACAAGAAACATACTTTGTAATTTCCAATAGGTAGGGACAAATAACAATTTTCCATTCTTACATTCAAATTTGTGTATTTTCCAACATATTTGGAAATATTAATACATATATCTGAAATAAAAGATAACCTTAACATATTGGTAACATTTATACTCAGTTTAAAATAATACAAAAAAAAGCAAAAACCAAATACAATATCTTTTAAAGCTTTCAGGTAAATTTCCAGAAGCTTTACAGTAAAATGGTTTCTCGTGAGGAATAGGGGGCATCAAAGCAAAAAGAAAACTACTTAATTGACATTCTTTCTTAATAATAGATATTTTTTAGTGAACTTTATTGATCTCACACTGGAGAAATTTACCCCTGCATTTAACCCATCCCCTTGGAGAGCAGTGGGCTGCAATTGCGGGGCGCCCAGGGAGCAATCGGGGGTTAAGTGTCTTGCTCAGACAGCCAGAGTGGGAGTCTGTGGGAGTGGAGCTCAAACTCAGAACCTCAGGATTCAAAGCTCTATGCCCTAATCACTAGGCTGCCAGTTGCCAATACCTTTTCCAGAAAACCCTCAAGATTAAAAATATATTTTGTTTAACATCATAAATGACCCCTCACACCCCCACCATAGACTGTTCTTCCTGCTACCCTCTGGGAAAAGACTTTGAAGCATTCGTTGCAGGTCCAGCAGATTCCACAACAGTTTATTCCCCACTGCCGCTAGACTGCTGAATGTTGTATAAAATGAGGTTATAAAAAAACTAAGGTTTTGGTCACTTTTTAGTGTTGGTGGTGTGTTCACACATTTGGTAGCATGAGACGGACTCCACAACCCACTCAAGTGGCTCAGGTAGTGCATCTCATCCAAGATGGCACATCAATGCAAGCTGTAGTAATAAGTTTTGCTGTGTCTGTCAGTGTAGTGTCCAGAGGCTGGAGGCGCAACCAGGAGACAGCTAAGTACACCAGGAGACGTGGAGGACGCAGTAGGAGAGCAACAACCCAGCAGGACAGCTACCTCCGCCTTTGTGCAAGGAGGAACAGGAGGAGCACTGACAGAACCCTGCAAAGTGACCTCCAGCACGCAAAAACGTTCATGTGTCTGCACAAACGGTTAGGAACCGACTCCATGAGAAAAGATGAGGTCCTGATGTCCAAAGATGGGTCTGTGTTCAAAGCCCAATACTGGGCAAGATGCTTGCCATTTCCCAGAGAACACCAGAATTAGCAAATTGACCAATGATGCTCTGTGCTCCTCAAAGATGAATGCAGGTTCACCCTGAACACATATGACAGACGTGACAGAGTCTGGAGACACCGTGGAGAGAGATCTGCTACCTGCAACATCCTTCACCGTGACTGGTTTAACAGTGGGTCAGTAATGGTGTCGGACAGCATTTCTTTGGAGGGCCACATAGCCCTCCATGTGCTCGCTAGAGGTAGCATGACTGCCATTAGATACTGAGAGGAGATCGTTAGACCCCTTGAGTGGATTGCAATAATAAATAGTGTCAAGCATAATATGCTCGTTATGCCCCAGAGTTAAGATAATTTGAAACCTATGAGTTTAGAGTCAATGTAAAATGCACAAGAACAGAAACATTTTTATCCCTTGACTCAAGATGTTTCTGTGTCTTTTCTGGACATAACATTTAATAATTAAAATTATCAAGCACTTGAGTGAAGTCCTTACAGGTCCCAATAAAGCATGTTTAAATTATAGCTGTTCGACACCAGGCAAAAACTTTTTTGCAAAGATTATTGTCAATGACAAACTGGAAGAATTCTTAAAACGAGGGCAGCAAGACACAGACAATTCATCTATCGTCACAGAGTATTTATAGAGCATCATCTCACATGTTTAACAGTAAAGTATAATCTACCAGCTAAATCAGCTCTGACAGTCTATGGAAAGTTTCCTTTATGCTGGCCCTCACTGTCTATTGTCCCTCATCTTCAGATGTGTCTCGGCTTTCATACTTGAATCCAATGCTCTTAATTACCTCCCCATCATGCTGTAAGATTCTCAGTAGTCCAGCTAATAACCTGCTTATTTACCTTAGGTGTGTTGATCCGAGTTGCATCTAAAATCTGCAGGAAACAGGACTACAAGGGCCAGATCAAGGAAGCCTGGTCTATGTGTTACTGTATGTAAAATTATAGGTTTAGCTTGTGATTAATAATGGTGGCATAACTGCTTGCACTAAACTGGTAGTATTGAAACAAACGGCATATTTTAGGTTTTATTTGTGAAGAAATTTCAATAGTATATATCCATTTCCTGTTTTTTAAAATGTAAGTGCTGTTTTGGTTTTGGTCAATCAGGTATAATCTCAATAAAACACATCGTAACTGTATATTAATAAAAAAAAAAAAAAAAAAAACACTGAAAATTTGTTTTTTTTTTTTTTTAGCGGAGATGGGGAAACTGTATAGATTAGATGCAAGAAAATTATTTAAAATCCTCCAATGTTTGTCAAGGTCAGCTTATAACCAGGAAGCAGCTTCCTGTCTGCCCAATTAGCAACAACCAGGAAGGAACGCTTTTCTTCTGAGACCTGTGACCCTTAAAGCTATGCTGCTGCTGCAATGACAGGGGCGGTTCTGAAATGATGACAGGCATTAGCATTTTTCCGCAGTTAGCATTAGTGTAGGGCTGTGAGTGCAAGTGTGTGTGCCTCTCTTTGTGTGTGGATGCATGCAATTTTGTTTCAGTAGCTTTCAGAGATAGCCTTGATGAGAGATTAGCCACTGGTGGAAATCCACTCCAGTCACTCTTTCAAAATGGCCGACAGGAAGGAAGCTGCAACAGACAGGGTCACAGCCCCTCCCATTTCTGAAGGGGACCTTGAGTTGAATGCTCCTCTCCCTCATTAAATCCGAAAAGGAAAGACAGAAGAATCTGTTTGACATTGCTTTGTCTTTTTCTCTCAGTCAAACGCGGAGTGACTGAAGGAGATTCTCGATGAAGCTGCACTTTATTATTTCTTTTGTTTTGAAGAAATATAAACACTCAGTCAGTCACAATAGGATCACTAAGTAATTTGGATACTACAAAAATTTTTGTGAGCTTAAAACTGATCTGTATCAGCCTTTATGCCAAGTTCACATATTGCTACAGTCCAATTAGTAAGCATGTTGATAACTACCATTATCATCAAGTACTTGGCAGAAAAAGAAAGAAAATAAGTAGAGGAAAAAAAACTCACTTGAAGCGAGTCGGATCCAATAACTTTTACTCTTGGGGGATTCAATCCAGCTGGCCGAGAAGGTCTGGTGGTGACACTGGCCCAGGGCCCTGCATGTATAAAAATGCATAGTTTAAAATGCATTTTCTTTTATAAATGAGTTGTAAACGTGAATTTTTATTCCTGTATTACCAGAAGCCTTTCCAGCCTCATTATGGAGCACAAGCCGATAGTGGTAGCCTGTCCAAGGACTGAGAGCTGAGGAGGAGTCCAGGAACGAAAGAGGGGGAGGAAAGGGTGGAAGATGGCCTACTGTGGAGACTTGTTGGGTTCCAGCAACTCTTCGCTCGATCACCCAACTACAGCAAAAAATGGGTTACCAGACACACATTAACAAAGAATAATTCAATCGATCAAATGTGCAAGAGGGACTGAAGAGTGTGTCATCAGTGTCATCAAGTACTTGGCAAAAGAAAGCACTTGTTCCTCACCGTTCTAGTGGTCCATTGCTTTTTTCTGGTGCACCCCAGGATAAGAGAACAGATGTCGGTGTTTCGGAGTAAAGGTAAGGTGCAGGCACCCCTTCAGGTGGAGCTGGTAGAGTCTGGAAATACTGAGATGTCTCTGACACTGAGCAACCGACCCTTGTGCACGCTCTCACCTGAATAACAGTAGGGGAACTTACTAGGAGAACTTTACTTTTTTATTGCTATTAGAAACCAGTCAGTAAATAATTCTCAACAATAGTTACAGTTTACTTCAACTGAGAAACATTAAGAGTCAAAGATCTATAACATTAAACATACATGATTAGGTATCAAAAATATATATTTTAAACTTTATTTATGAGGAAAGGTACGGAATGGGAAATTAGGAAAAAAAAAACATTTGTTTGTCAACTAACTCACATCCATATTCCTAACCTCGTACAGATTAATGCTGTAATCTATTTAAATGCTAAATTCACATTGGCCTACCTGGAGGTGAAATGTTTGGTAGGGAAGTAGATTGAGGAAAGTGTAACTGGTGGTATTTCCAGGAACAGTGACAGAGAGTGGAGTGGATCCAGAATTAGTAGCAGAAAAGGGGGAGACGGGACTGGTAGATGGTGTAATAAAATGATTGGGACCCAAGCTACTTTCAGGATAATATGGGACTGATGGTGAGATGTCTGGATTTAAACTGCTGCTGTTAGGCTCAGCTGTTTTGAATAAGATCATATTTTTGTCATGACCTTTAGTATTTTCACTAGATGTCTCCGTCTGCGTCTTTTCAACAACACTAGGAATCATGGTGGAGAAGTGGTTGATGTGTGCATTTTCTTGAATTATGCTCAATTTGTTATCATAATCTACAGAAGCCACAGAGTCCTCAGGTCTGCCAGGATTTGATGATGTCAATAAGTTAGAATCTGAATTGAGTACTGCATCAGTGGTGGAAGTCAGGCTTGGTTCTGATGATAAATCTGAGTTGTAGGACGAGCTGGTGACTAAATTAGGGTTATAATCTAGAGAAGTGATGGAGTCTGAGTAAAGATAAAGGGTGTAATTTGTAATGATTCCATTTCTTTGAGCTGGAGGATCCCAAGTAACTAATACAGTCCGAGGATGAAGTCCCATAACAGTTGGTGTGTCTATTTGTCCTGGATCTGCAGAAAAACAAAAAAAAAAAATCATAAATGAGAAGATAAGAAAAACATGACATTATGAAAAATACAAGTTACAACAATAAGTATATAAGAGTGAAATAACAAAAAACATCAAAAAGGACAACGAGCTGTTTTCTAATCCTTATTTAAAGAGATTATTATGAAAATTCACTTTTTCCACTTTCTTCCACTAAGAACATGTTGCACTAAGATATTTTTTTAATGATAATAAATACAAATACAGAAAAAAACGAATAAACAAAAGACATACAAATACACTTTGAGAAATACACTTTGAGAAAATATACCAAAAATATACAAAAAGTTGATTTGATCAGCAATTCAGAAAGAAGACAACTTAGATTATTCTAAAGAACCTTAAGGTCTGGGAAAGGTAGTGATAAATTACTAAGAGTTAGCAAGTCCATGTTTTTGATTTGGCTCCAAACGGATGACGAAAAAAGAGAGCATTTTTGCTATGGGCCTCATGGTGAATGTCAGAAAGCCCAGACTAAATGCATTATAAAGTGATATTATGGTATTTTAGAATAAGTAAAATAAAACTCGGCTAAATCTTATACTGATCTCTGCTCATTTTGAAAAATATTATACGTTTTGGTTCTGCACTTACTATATTTATCATAAAAGTCTGAGTATAAGACACTGAGAAAAGCTGGTAAATTTGGCTGTCTGCTGATACAGCCAGCAATTGTGTGCATAGTGTTGCTTTAATTTTCACTATGACTGTTATTTTTTTATCAGAGAAAATAAATAAAATCCTAATAGGATAATTTGTCATTCGTATTTTCAAGGGGAAAAAAAAATATAGGAGTCATTTTAAGCCACCTGACCAGTAATAATAATAAATGTTATTGAACTAATTGAATGAATCTCCCACTGGAGAAATTCACCTCTGCATTTAACCCATTCCCTCTGGGAGCAGTGGGCTGCTACTGTGTTGTGTTTGGGGAGCAGTGTGGGGTTAAGGGTCTTGCTCAGGGACCCAGAGTGGCAGTTTGTGGGAGTGAGGCCTGAACTCAGAACCTCCGGCACCCAAGTGCAATGCTCTAACCATTAGGCCACCAATCCCCCAGAAGCTGGAAAGAACATGTGCTCTAATTCAGCAAGAGAAAACTGGTCACTCTGAAGATATTTAAACCAGGAATACTATGGCAAAAAATTTATAAGCATATGAGAGTTCTTAAATCTTTTAAGTTAGAAAGCAAATAATCTTTTTAGAAAGAGGCAGAAAAGCTCACCGGCAAAAGCCGTATGGCATTGCAAGGGTAAAAAATTAACACAAGATCAGGCAGAAGGAAAATCGCTTCATAGAAGCCTGTTTGAAAGTAATCCCAACCTCGTCCTCCCCCGGCATTTACATCCCACTGTACTACTTTATAATGGACATACATAGAGACACACTATTCCTAACTCACGCATTAACTCACATACGCACACCCACAGAGAGGCAGTATAGCAGTAATGGTGCTGTGTGAAGGGCAGGCAGATCAAGGTGACTGAGCGGACTGAGGGAGCGTGCTGTGCTGCTAAGTGCTACTGCTAACCGCTAACGGCTTTCCCAGATGGTGATATGTATGTGTGTTTATGAGGGACAGGCAGAAAGGAAAAGTGAAATAAGATTAGCAGTTGCATGAGAGCATAAATTCATGCGATATTAGGCATACATGCACGTCTATGCACATGCAACTAAACAACTTAAAAGTAAACGATGTGCAATTTTGCCTCATTATCAACTAATTCATGTGCCTGACTAAACAGACTGAGATGGGAACTGATGCTTTGTAAATGAAGTTCCTCTTATGCTAAAAGATTATTAATATATTTTATTTCTGTTTTCATTCCCTATGTGGAATTTAAGAAGTTTTTATTAAGTAATTTGATGCAGCAGTACAAATAAACAAAAACCATTTTAACGTACAAGAAAATGACATTAAAACAACAATATTTAATGTTTAATATAGGGATGCAGCTACTAATGTTCTGTTATTAAGTTTACTTTCTTTTAAAGAAATATATTATATGTAAAAAAAAAAAAGCAAAAACTCAACGACTTAAGCTGATTTTAAGAACAGAGGTTTGTTGTACTCTAATGTTCTGTTACCTCTTGGTCAGGTCAACCTTGGAAATTATATTTTATCTCAAGCAGCATCCTAATAAAATAAAGGCTAAATAAGATATAAATAACTAATAGAAATATATACAAAATAAAAGGCATTAGTGCAGCATTCTGTTTGTGTCTGAAGTAGCAATTTCTGACCATAGTTCTACTAAAACTCCACCAACGTCAGAGCAATAAATAAAAAAGCTGGAGCAACAGAAGCATAATCGACTTCCACATTCAAGATGGTTTTCCCAATTTTTCTGTTTAAAGCAGTTCTATTACTCAAGTAGTTTTTAGAGTCCACATGTTGAAAACTGAAACGCTATCACTTTGGAAATTACTTTGCAGTTCTAGGTTCCAAGGCAAATGGAATGCAGTGTGGAATTTCAGCAGCAAAAAACACCGGGAGTTGTCTGTCACTTGATGTGCTCTGCCTTATCTCATTTAATGTAAAGCATGACATAGCTTCTCCTAAGGTACATTCAGACCAAAGGTAAATGCGGCGACTGTATCAAGTAAATTCAATGTTATCCACGTGTTAATGTGTCCGAGAGTGAAGAAGTATTCCAGGCAGAGCGGTTGACGATCAGATGAAGAAAAATTTAGTAGCAGTTGAACAATCTGAATCTCTCCATTAGATCACATCACAGATGAGGTTGTGATGTAGGGTTAAGGAGCACACAGTGGAGACAAACCTTTGTTCTGTCAAAAACTCCACAGAGCCCCCCCTGCAAAGACACAGCAGCTGATACTGGGTCCTTGATAGACGGATTTACCACTGGAAGCCATCATTTAGCTGCAGTTCCTAAAGTAGATGGTAGTGCTGGCTGAACCAGGAGTGGATCAAGTGATCTGCTGACTCGCTCTGTAAAATCAAGGTCTGTTGAACAGACAAGAGGATGTAGCAAGAGTAAGCATACTCCTCTATTTGATAGCGAGCTGAGGAGAAGTTTACCACACTGTCCGGGCAAATTGCTAATGTTTATGGGTGGAATGTCACGACCAATGCCAGGTGGACCACATGAAAAATGTCTGCATTTGCTTTTGGTGTTAATACAACCTTAAACCATAATATTGCACTATTTGTAGATATGGGCTGTTTATGGAAGATTTTCTTTAGGGGTTAGTGCCTCTTTTTGCTGTGTGTCCATTATACATTATTGGGGAGTTGGGAGACACAGGGTTTACACTGCAGCAAATGATTCATGCTAAGATGTTTGAGTACTGAGGATATGCTGTTATGGAAAGCATACGCTGCTGGTCACAAGTTTTTATTTGATCCTACATTTTCAACATTTTCTTTTTTGTAATTTAGTTTTTATTCCTTTGGCTGGATGCTTAAAGGAGAATTCCGGTTTTTAACACTTTTAGCCCATTTTCTGTAGTGTCCAGGATGAAATCGAATGATCGACACCAAAATTTTGACAATTGGTCCTGTCTCTGCTTTTTGGCTCATGCAGAATCCCCCCCTGGCTGCTTCAGAATGGCTTCCATAGTGCATGTCTGATAATGTCCTTAAAACAACCTTAAACATTCTTTTTTTTAAAATATGCTACTCACCGGGTCGTCAGCGCTGTTCAATGACATTCCAAAAAAAGTTTCGTAAAGAAAAAACGTTCCTGTGGTGTTTTATTTAGCATTTTGTAAATCCCATTGAGTTCTGTTGGAATAGTCAATATTCCGCTGCCACTGGAAACGGAAATGGGGCCTGTTTACACAGTTGTAGTCTTTTCGCTTCACTCTGTGTACTCCGACGTCGAGAATCAAGAATCCACCTTTCGTATTCCATTTTCAGAGTTTTTTAAAGTGTTTAACAGAGACGTTAGCACCTCGACGTCGGAGTACACAGAGTGAAGCGAAAAGACTACAACTGTGTAAACAGGCCCCATTTCCGTTTCCGGTGGCAGCGGAATATTGACTATTCCAACAGAACTCAATGGGATTTACAAAATGCTAAATAAAACACTACAGGAACGTTTTTTCTTTACGAAACTTTTTTTGGAACGTCATTGAACAGCGCTGACGACCCGGTGAGTAGCATATTTTAAAAAAAGAACGTTTAAGGTTGTTTTAAGGACATTATCGGACATGCACAATGGAAGCCATTCTGAAGCAGCCAGGGGGGGATTCTGCATGAGCCAAAAAGCAGAGACAGGACCAATTGTCAAAATTTTGGTGTCGATCATTCGATTTCATCCTGGACACTACAGAAAATGGGCTAAAAGTGTTAAAAACCGGAATTCTCCTTTAACAATACAAAGGAAAACAGCCAATAAAAGAACTAAAGACATTCTTCGATAGGTTCAGTTCAGGAATAAGCTTAGCATCATTCTCACTTGCAGACAGTCATATAAACATCCCGCCCTCCTTTGACCGAAAGCTTCTTTGTCACATATTGAATGTTTCCCCTTCCACCTCTGATATGGACCCTCCTGCTTCTATGCATCTGTTCCCTGTGTTTGATAACAATTATATAACAGTATGAAATAATAATCTCAATATTAAGAGAATTTAATGAATGCTCGAGGTAGAAAATCTGCTTTGAAGAATTTTATTTATCGAGTTACTCAAACCATATAATCAATAATTATTTAATCTCTATTGTCTTAATCTCTGGACATTGTCAATAACAATAATAATACATTTTATTAGAAGCATCTTTAAAAAACACCCAAGAGCATTGCACAATAAACGTAATAAACGATGCAGTCTTGAAAATATGTGTTTTTAACCTTGATTTTGAACAGAGGTAAAGTATCAGCATTGCAAAATATCAGGGAGTGAATTCCAGAGTTTGGGAGACGAGGAAGGAGCAGGAGAAACCTCTAATGATGAGGTGGGTAGGAGGCTGTATAAGGTGGACGGAAGAAAAAGATCT